AAAAGATTTGTTTTGCATTCTTATGAACTAATATCTAAGAATTTAAATTAATTTGATGCATTGCTGTGCTGCTAAATTATATCAAGGGGAAATTGATGCAATATGTGATACAAAAGGTGATGTTAGTCGACACAAATTAATTTATTTCCCAATGTTTTTCAAGAAAATTTAAGGAGAAAGATTTCAAAAGTTTAGTTTAGTTTAATGAAATTTGTATGCCGCCCACTCCCATTGGGACTCTGGGCGGCTCACAGTTAGAGATAATGTTGTAGCCCGAGGCTTATAGTGGGTTTGACTTGGCCATAAGCAATGTATGCAATAATTCCTGCCTATATATGAAAATAAAAGATGTCGCTCTCTTCTAAGAAATATTTATTTCATCATACTCTGAAAGTAAGCCACTTAACCTATGCTCAGGCTAACTGAGCAATATTATCAAAAATAAAAAGTGACAGACTTTCATCGAGCCCCTCTGAAAAAGTAAAAAAAGTAAAAAGTAAACAAAAGCAAACAAAACACTATATGTGACTGTATTTTCAGTGAAAACAATCTGATAGAAAAGAAACGTGATTAAAAAAAATAAGGAAGCAGTTCAATATTCCCTTTCTATTATTTGTATCTTTGCAAAAGCAGCATGTTCATACTGATTTCAAATTTGCTGGACTTCTGGTTTGGGGGGGGGGGGGGCTGAGGGAGCTTGTTGTTTTTAACAGCTCCGGAATCTTGGCTGCGTTAAACTGTCTAAACAGCAATTCATCAGCTATTTGGCAGTTTTATTACCTCTTCTTCGGGCTTAGGAGAAGAAGGCAAGTTAACTATGTTTGGGCAGTGCTCCAACTAACCCACCCAGACTATAGATCTGCGTCAGGATGGGGGGGCACCTGACAGCATAGTATTCTCTGCGTCCAGAATTTCTTCTGCTTTTATCTGCAGAACAAAGGCATCCGCCCACCCTCAGCACAAAGTTTGATTTATTGCTGATTCCAGAACGGGCAGAACTTATACTCGTGAACTCCTAATTGTATGTATAAATCTTTAGCTTCATTTTTAAAGAATTCCTTATGAATTTACTTGCCAGAAAGACACACAAAATGGCGCCAAGCAGCTTTTAGCAGGGGTCGGGCTTTTTTTACAGAGCTCAGAACATTTAAAGAACAGGAAGTGATTTATTATCAAACTAAACAGCAGTTGCTGTATAATCAGCTTGCATAGACTTACTAATTGGCTAAAGAAGATTAAATGTGGAATGGCTTCTAAGCAAAAGTCCCCCCCCCAACATGTCAAAAAGTGCAGGCAGCTCACCTGCTCCAACTACTAAATTACAGTCACTACTCCCCCCCCCCACTTCTGCAGGGGAGCCCCTGACCAGAGAAATTTTGCAGAAAGAATTGGTTGAAGCTTTAAAAAATCATCGATGGAAGTTAAAATTAAGGAAGAGATATCTGCTGCTCATAAAGAACTGTCTAAAGAGTTTGTGACTCGGAACCAGGGGATTAGGGACGATATTTTGGTGGCTTTTAACTGCCTCTCGGGATACGTCTCGGGAATTGAAGACAGATTAGAAGATCTTAGTGATTCTAATATCAACCTGGCAACGAAAATGGATGTGGTTCAACAAAAAGTTGGCGATGCTGAAATTGAAATTATAATGTTACAGTATAGACAAATGGAATTTGCCTTAAGAATAAGAGGCCTCCGTGAGAATAACCAAGAAAATTTGAAGCAGATTTTCTCAGAAGCCTTTGATCAATTGATGGGAAGGCCAGGTGGGAACTATGAATGGCAAATTGAAAAGGTTTATTGTGTTAACTCCTGGATTGCCAGACAAAAGCAACTACCAAGAGACATTGTGATGTACTTTGCTACAAGAGACATGAGGAATATGATACTGCAAGAGTCTTACAAAACTAAGCTTCAAATTGGGGGTCAGGAGGTGACTGTTTTGAAGGAGATATCACCTAAAATGCTGAGAAAATGCTTTTTAGTTGAAGAGCTTAAAAATCGTCAGTTACAGTTCAGATGGGANAAAAAAATATTTTTCTCAACATGCTAGTCAGAATATAGATAGTCCTTGACTTACAACAGTTCACTTAGTGACCGTCTGAAGTTAAAACGGTATGGAAAGAAGTGACGTATGACCATTTTTCACACCTTTGACTCTTGCAGGGCCCCCATGTTCAAAATTCACATGCTTGGTAACAGGTTCATATTTATGACCGTTGCAGCGTCCCGGTGATCACACAATCCCCTTTTGGGGACCTTCTCACCAAGAAAGTCGATAGGGAAACCCGTTTCACTTAACAACTGGGTTACTAATTTAAAAAAAAAAACCCCGTAGAAAACCGCTTAACAAACGTGGCGTAAAACGGGACAAAACTCGCTCGACAAATTTCTTCACTTAGCCATGTAAACTCTGGGCTCGATTGTGGCCGTAAGCGGAGGACTTCCTGCATTGAACGCGGCCCAGAGGACGGCATCGTCAAATGAACAGAAAAGTCAGCCGGGAATAAAATTCTCCGGCTTCCGTGCAATTTATCGTGGCACTTAAAGAAACTTGCTAGGCAACTGAAATGCGATTGAGGTCACAACGGTGCCGTTTTCATTAGCTGTGCTTTATCGATGTAATAAACACGATAAAGAGCCAGACGGTTTAGCCTTCAGAACACATATCTCAAATTGATCTGACAGCAGCAGAGCGGGAAGCGTTGATAGACCCCCCCTCCCCAAATAAAAATAGCATCCTAGATATAACGGGCAAAAACTCTGGGAAAGAAGCGATAAATTGACGACGGCAAACCACTTATCACGAAAACGTTTGTCTAAAATGTTTTACAGGCGGCATTTACCACCGGCAAGACTTAGCAAAAAGGTTTAAAAACATGTCCACTAAATGTTGGAAATGTAATCAGAAACCAGGCACATATTTTCACCTGTGGTGGACATGCCCCAAAAGCCAAAAAGAAATTGGGCAAAAATGCATATGCGGTTAGAACAAAATGTTAAGAGAACATCTAGAGTTTAAGCCACAAGATTTTATTTTTAATTTTTTTATTAACAAACATGTAAAATACACACACACAAAACTTAGACGTACATCACATTTACACAATACAATAAGAACAGGAGCTTCATGTTCTTTCTAATAGCNTAAGTGGATGGATGGATAGATAGATGGATGGATAGATAGATAGATAGATAGATAGAGAGAGAGAGAGAGAGAGGGTAGGTAGGTAGGTAGTAGGAGGTAGCTAGATAGATAGAGATGATAGATAGAATGATAGACCGACAGAGATAGATAGAGATAGATAAATAGATAGGTAGGTAGGTAGGGAGAGGGAGAGGGAGAGAGATGGCTGAAGGTTTGAAACAGTCAAAAAAATATAGTTGTAGCAATTGACTAAATTAGAAAAAAAATTCAAATCTGAACAGAATAACAGAGTTGGAAGGGACCTTAAAGGTCTTCTAGTCCAACCCCCTGCCTAAGCAGGAGTCCCTATACCCATGATGGCGAACTTATGGCACGCGGGCCAGAAGTGGCACGCAGAGCCATCCTGCGCAGCCTTGCTGGCTCCTCTTCTGTGTTCCTGTGCGCACATGTGCGCCAGTCAACTGGCCCTCGTGCACGCAGGAGCGCTGAAACCCGGAAGAGCAGAGTTCCTGCGCGCATGCCGGCACGCAAACTTCTGGGTTTCTGTCGCACGCATGCACGACAGCCAGCTCTTCGTCTGGCCTGCACCAGGAACCAGAAGTTTGCGTGCCCGCGCATGCGAAAGCCAGCAAGGCCACGTGGTCCAGGCTGGATGGTTTTGCGCACCATTTCTGGCACACAGGAGTTGGCAACCTTAAACGCTCAAAGAGCCATTTGGACTCGTTTCCCACAGAAAAAAAAAACACCGGGAGCCACAGAAACCCTTCCCGTGCCTGACTATTTCCTGAGCGGCCACAAAACTAGCATATGTAGTTGAATTAAACATTCTGTTTCTTCTGGGACTTTTCTTTTCTTGGATTTATCCATGGTTGGCCTACTTAAGAGTCAAAAAGCGGCTGTGAGCCACAGCAGAGGGATGGAAGAGCCACATGTGGCTCCGGAGCCTCAAGATTACTGACCGCTGCCCTATACCATTGCAGACAAATGCCTGCCCAACCTGTCTTCTGTTTGCCAGAAGGTCGCAAAAGCGGATCACAGGACTTGCAACCGTCGTAAATACGAGGCCAGTTGCCAAAGCGTCTGAATATTGATCACATGACCACGGGGAATGCCGCAACGGTCGTTAAGTCTTGAAAAATGGTCCTCGGCCATTTTTTTCCAGTGCTGCTGTAACTTCGAACGGACGCTAAACGGACTGTTGTAAGTCAAGGACTGCCTGTATTAGAGAGGACATTGTGTGTGTGTGTGTGTGTGTGTGTGTGTGTGTGTGTGTGTGTAAATATTTGTTACCCAATTGTATAAGTGCTCCTCCAGTCCGTTGCACGGTTCACTTGTGTTTGAACAAGACGTGACATTCATTATACACACACACACACACACGGCAACCCGTTTTGTGTATTTCGTAGCGCACTTTCAAAATTGTGTTGTGACGATGCGGTTCAGTAGGCTGCCAATTGAATAAGGAGTCTCTGATATTTGGTTTTATTCCCGTTGCACAGAAAGGGTTCATTCTTGGATTTCATTGATAAAACAGGGTTATATTAGATTGCTCTCAGAGTAGACCGGTGGTGTAATTAAAGGGCTTTGAGATTCCCGTTATGGCGCTCTGCCTGAAGGAGGTCAATCTTTGTTATGTAGAATAGACCGACTCGGGCCTTCATGGCCATTGACAAAGGTGTGTTTCTGCCTCTCTTTTAGGCGAAATATTCTGCCCTTTTGATATTCCCTAAAATATTTCATTTTCCTAGGAGAGGAGGTGGGTGCTAACTTCCTACAATAGATATACGCAAAGGTTCACATCACTGGAATAGCATTTGCATTAATCAGCTCCTTTCGCTTCTCCTCTTTTCAGTCCAAAATGCACACTTTTGGCTAACGTTGGAAGGAACGACATCTACAGAAACAGAAAAGACTACTCAGAGGTAAGAATTCGGCGTTGCGTTGGAGTCATTTAACATGGGTGGTGCGGTGGCCTAGAGGGGGAGCTCTCGCCTCACAATGAGGAAGTTGTGAGGTTCAATCCTAGGTAGTGGCAGATATTTCTCTCTCTGGGCACAATGAGAATATATCTGCCGAACAAAACTCCGCAATGGCGACATGAAGAGCAT